ATTCACTTGTTTCAGCTGTTTTCTTTATTCCAAGTACAAATCACTGCTGGAGAGGACCCAGTCAAAGCCAAGCAGAAAACCATGACCTTCGACATTTCAGAAAAATGAGAAAAAGTGGCCAAATGTACATAAACATTAGACAAGAAATAGCAGCAAACGACCCACTAAGCGCAGAACTCTGACCTATCAGCCCTTAAAGGCCCTTAAAGCTTATCTGTTTCATAAATCATGCAACTTCTCTGGACCTGGCAGCCCCATCTTTGAAGCAGSGATTTCAGTCTTTCTAAAGTCAGAACAATTCTTGAAAGAATAATCATGGATAGAAAGGTGCAGCCAGGACCCTCCAGCATAGTTGAACAAAAGACTATGCTTGGGAACAACAGCGGCTTTCTGGCCCTACTAGTTTTCCTTTCCCAGTAGAAACAAAAGCATCAACTGGAAATCAGAATTCCTCAGCCAGAGGAGGCTAGCAATCAAGCATTCCTATCTACGGAATTCTCCAAGGAGAACAAATAAATTGTGGCCACTGCCTMTCAGAGACACCCGCCCCCAAGCAAGGGAAGGTGAAAAAAGACAGGCCAGCAGGCRTCTCCCCAAGCAGGTGTCTTTCTTTCTGACAGTTTGTTTACTTATATGCACATATATGAATCCACAATGCTGTCTTGCCTGCCTGCCTTATTTGGCGTCAAAGCATATATTTTAGGTATAATTCTATACCCTGTTTTTTTTTCCCACAGAACTTTAATGATAAGATGTAGCCACAGTGATGTGTATAAAATCATACTATTCCTTTCAACATCCTTGCATTTTCTGTCATGTGACCATACCACATTAAGTTTTTCCCCTCCACTATTAATGGTCATGTTGGTGGTTTCTGGCCACTTTAAACTCACTTTAAAATGCATTTATCACGTGTTTGCATTATCTAGGGCCATACCACTTCCTGGTTATTTGCACTTGATGTATTCAACCTTGAACCCATCAGACCTCTGATTCTACTCATACATTTTTAACTCAAAAATACATATAATTGCCAATTTATAGGATCTACAAGAAACTGAAAAGCATGTTAAGCCACACCAAAATGAGACAATGGCCAAATCCTGCAAAGAATCCTTAGGATAAATGACTTGGTTTCCTTCAACTCAAACTACAACAGGAACAAATTTTGCAAATATACTGATAAGGGGCTTGTATCCAGCAATTATATAGAATTCTTACAGCTCAACAATAAAATGACAAACCCAACTTTAAACCTGGACAAAGGATCTGAATAGACACTTCTCCAAAGAAGTATACAACTGGCCAACAGGCACATGGAGGGATGCTTAGTATCACTCTAGTTATTAGGGAAATGCAAATCAAAACCACAGAGGTGCCACTTCACACTCCCTAGAATGTCTATTATCCAAGACTGTTGGGAAGAATGTGGAGAAGCAACCCTTCCATCCTGGTGGGAATGTAAAATGCTACAGACAGGTGGACAGTCTGACCCAGCTCCTCAGATGGTTAAACCAAACAAACATGCCCAGTGATTCCACTCTTAGCTCTGTTGACCAGGAGAAATGAAAAACCGCCCACACACCAACCTGTGAAGTGTCACAGCAGCATTATTCTTAGCAAAAAGATGGCAACAATCCAAATGTCCATCCACCCTTGAAGGCTCAAACCAACCACGAAATAGTCACATGGTGGAATATTATTTGGTCACAAAAAGGAACCTCAAGAACATGACATTAGTGAAAAAAAAGCCAAACATGAAGGTCACAGCTTGCATGATTTCATTTATAAAAAATATTCACAGTAGACAAATGCATAGAGGGGGCTGGGGTGGGGCCTGAGGGGTGACCGCTAAAGAATCCAGAGCTTCTTTTTGGGGTAACAGAAACATTCTAAAATTGATGTCTGCACAATTCTGTGAATACACTAAAAAATTTATAAGAAATTAAACTAAAAATAGTCTCTTTGTCTTTTAAATCATTTAGGTCTCTTTCAAACAACTTGACTATGTAAAATTAGATGCTGAGTTTTAAAAGTACATTATAAAATAAAATCATAAGACAATCATGGAAACTGGAGTAGATATTTGATACTAGTAAGGAATTATTTGTTTTTCATGGGCATGGTAACAAAAATAAGTTGTGTTTTTAACAAGGAGTTCCGGTATTTTAGAGATAAACATTAAAATATGTATAGATACAAGGATATACTGTCTGAGACTTGCTTGCAAAATAACCTTGGAAGAGGGAAAACAGGCATGGATATAAGTGAAATTATCATGAGCTGTCAAATCTCTGTGATGGTTCACTATACTACTTTTTCCACTTTCATGATATTTGAAATCATCTATTTATAAAAGGGGCGAGGGTCTCACTGAGACTCTGTCTTTATATAAAATATAAAAAGGGTGGGGGATATGGCTCAGTGTTAAGCGCCCCAGAGTTCAATCCCCTGTACAAAAAAAGGGGGTGGGATAAAAGAAAGAGAGGGAATATTTCCCTACCTACCACATTACCTTTATTTTATTTATCACATTATTTTATTGCGTGCCAATTATCAATCCCAAAAGTGAGGAAACTCACTTTAAAATGCATTCTCAAGAAACAATTAAAAATRCCCTTGGACTTCCCCCTTCACCCTCCACAACCACTTTTTCCGMCTCAATTGCAAACTTTCCAAAAGAAGGCTTTCATCTTTAATGCTTGTGTCCATTTGTTTGATCTCTATGTGTTGGTCTCCTTTTATAATTTGCCTTTAGACCTAATAATTTTTTCATTAAATTTAAAAATAGAAGTTTTAAATGAGTTTTGATTCTAAGCTAAGTGGCTCCTTGAAAGAGAAAATGATCAATTTCCTTTGGCTTCTCAATTTCATTTCCTCCTCTGATAAAGATAAAAGAGAGAACGGTCCAGAACTTTTGAGTTTATGGCAAGGACTCCTTGGTCATATAAAAAGGAAAAGATTATCCAGGTGAAGTAGCACACATCTGTAGTCCCAGCCACWAGGGAGGTTGAGGCACAAGGATCCCAAGAACAAGGTCAGCCTGAGGAACTTTGTGAGACCCTGTCTTAAGATAAAAACAGTTGGGGATGTAACTCAGTGGGTTCAATTCCAAGTATCACAAAAAAAAAAAAGGAAAATGTTGGGGCTGAGGGTGTAGCTCAGTGGTAGAGCTCATGTTTAGCATGCATGAGGCCACAAAGATTTTGAAAGATTGCACAGTCCTAGCCCATGTTYCAAGAAACAGCCTTGCCCCCACTACACCCAACACAGAGTCTTTACAGAAGTGACAGCTCTAACTTCCTGACAATGAACCATGTGAGAAGCACAATACCAATCAGTTTACCTGACCAATGTTATTTAGTTGTCACAGCAAGCCTAGGAGACAGGTGCTATTATGTATCCTCATTTAGCAGAGACTTTCAGAATGGTCAAGTAACTTAGCCTAAATCACAGAGCTTTAAGTAGCAAAGTTAATCCCAAATGTCTGGCTCCAGAACCTGTACTTATACCCAGCAACGTCACCTCAAAGTGAAAGCGAGCTCATGACATCTTTGCAGTGCTATCACTAATATCCGAGGATCAGAATATTCATTAGATCCAATCATTTGCTTTGGCAACAGAAGGTGAACTATCTCCCGGACACCCCTGTCACCAAGCCATTCATTAGGACCATCAATTTCATAAATCTTGCTCTTGAGCAGCAAACACAAAAGGCGTGTAATTTACCTTGAAGATCCACAGAGATAAGTTTAACATGAAAAGCAAATTATCACCTTTGCCTTGCCCCCCTACCCCCACCCCCAACACCTCCAGAAATGCCTAGATGGAAGGAGAGGGCCAAGGGCCCTGGATGTGGGGATTGTTGAGAAATAACTGAACAGTGAGAGAAAAACAGACACTATGAGGGTAGGCGGGTCCTCTGAAGTGAATCCAGATCCCAGAGTGGCTGGAAAAACAGTCAGGGGCCAGCTGAGAGGCTTCCCTGAGTCACTCCCATCTCCACACACAACACCCAAGAATGACTTAGCACCAAAACACCAATAGGAATCTTTAGAGGGAGGACAGGAGGGTGAACAGAGTCAGAGTCAAGTCACTAAACTTCAGAAACGACCAGCAGTCTACACCCACCTCCCTCTAACTTCCAGCGTCCCCACCAAACCCACCCCCTCTCTGGGGGAGGGGCTAGAGCAAAGCAACAGTCGCCAGATGGGCTCAGCATTGGGCAAGAAGGGAAGGGCTATAGGACAGGACAAGAGAGACCTCAAACGATGAGCTGAGAGAAGAAATGGAAGGGGCTGGAGTAGGGAAGAATAACCCCAACGTAAAAAGCTAGGACTGGGGAGGGAAGCTGAGCCGGGTAAGTAGGAACAACTGGTGGCTAGAAGAGCACTGGGGGACARGGTGGAGGGAACAAGAGCGAAGAGAGAGACAAAGGGGCGGAGAGCTGAGAGACCCCTGGGGACTAGGAGCTGCCGGTCTGGGTTTGCTGACAGCGGGTCCCGGGATCAGCAACCAAGGATGCTCGGAGGCRCTTTCTGCAGGTGGGGAACCGGGTGCCAGGGGACCAGGGGACCAGGGGCCTGGGCGGGGGATGACAGGGCAGCGGCGCCCGTAGCTGGAGCCGGGACTCCGGCGGGTCAACGAGGGAGGAGAAACTGCCCACCCAAAGGCTCCCAACTGGGGATCTGCTAACGGGGCGCGGGGCTGGGGCACTGGGAGGGTCTGGGGGCAGGCATCGAGGAGCTGGTCCTGCCCGGGGACAGGAGTCAGGGACGGGGAGTGCCTGGCCTCGGGCGATCGGAGACCTGCAGGGGGCCAGGGGCCGGGACCCCGGCGGATCGGTGGCGGGATCGGGAGCCAGGGAGATGGGGAGATGGGCCGGGGTCTGCGGGCGATCGGGGCGATCCGGGCGCGAGGACTCGGGGCCGGAGTGTGCAGCTGCAGCGGCGGGAGCCGGGGCGGCAGGGGCGGGTGACAGCGGCGGGGCCGCCACTCACCGCTCATGATGCCGCTCCTCTGGCGGGTGCCTGCGCCGCGCCGCCGCAGCCGCGTCTGCCGCCGCCGCGCTCTACAAGGGCCGAGAGACAGCGCGCGCGCCCCGCCCGCCGCCCCGCCCCGGAAGTAGAGCTCGTCGCCGCCTAGGCCCCGCCCCCGTCCCGGAAGGTAAACACGGGCGTCCGCCGGAGCGTGAGGGCTGAGGAGGGTGGCGGCGGCCGCCGGTGAGCGGAGGTCCGGTGAGGGTGCGTTTTTCCGCCTGCTGCGCGTCACACCTCGGTGCTGGCGCCAGAGAGCAAGGCCATGAGTAAGGAGAAAACAGGGATCCTGACAGGGGTGACAATCGCGAAGGAAACAGAGCCGTGGACTAAACGTGGGCACGGGCAGAGGGCAGTCCCGGAGGGCCTCTCTGAGGAGGCGACTTCGGGGAGGGGGGGGGGCCGTACCTGCGCGGTGAGAGGGAGCCGCACCGGAGGGTGAGCGAGGGGAGAGCGGGGACCCCGAGGGCGCGGGAGCTCCTGCCCCGCAGGGTAGTTGGCGCTTTCCTGCCCACCTCCAGGCGGGCGAGGGAATGGAGGTCCTCGTAAGTAACCCAGCGGAGTGACAGTCTGAACTGGTGGCAAGGCCTCACGTTTCCTGGAAGAAGAACTCATTGTAATGGGCAGGGGAGAAAGGGCTGGTTAGGGGGCTGCTGCATTGTCCTGGCGAGAGGTAACAATGCCTGGGATGGAGCAGGAGAAGGTGGATGGGTCCGGTATAAAGCCAAATGCTGCGCCTGCCCAGCAATCAGGGGGCACCGTCATTGCCCCATTTTATGGGTGGGGAAGGGATATCCAGCGAGGTATAAGAAGTAGCCAGGTTGTTTTGTTCACATCCAGGGGAAAAAAAAATGTCTTTTACATCACAACCCAGTACACACATAAGAACATTTGAGATGCTTAACAATTCTGTAGATAATGTATTATATTCTGGGTTTTTTTTCTTTTTTTAATGCTGACAGAGACTTACTCCATTTATCCACTATAAGTCTTGATCTATAATTGAAAACACTGACTTGACCAAGCCCCCACCAAGAAATGGAGCCAGAATTCCAGCCCCTTTCTCTATGGCCCCAGAGCCCCCAAGGTCTTCTGCTGCTTTGCCCTTGCATATGTATTTACACACACACCAGGATTTTACCTCTAAGGAAACAACTCAGCAAAGGCCCAGAACTCTTTGAAGAAGGATGCTCTGCAGCATTGTTTCTAATAGAAAAAAAAGGTGGTGATAAGAAAAAAAGATTTGAGATTGGGGCTGTGGCTCAGTGGTAGAGCACTTGCCTGGCATACCTAAGACCCTGGGTTCAATCCCCAACACTGCCAAAAAAGAAAAAAAAACAATTCTGAAATATTCTAAGTTACAAAGGGTGGAGAATGGAAGTAAGGAGAGTTGGTGGGGGAGTTCCCCTGCTTTGTGTCATCCTGCCCCTCTTTCATATCTGTAGCCAATGGAGGGTCAACATAAATAATTATATCTACCTCCACAACGTTTTCCATTATTAAATATTTTAGGTTTTTTGTTTGTTTGTTTGTTTTTAGATCCAGCAGACATTTTTCCAACTCCTACTTATCCTCACTGCTGGTAGCCGAGGGAACTTGTCCCAGGACCAGTCCTTCCTTTCTGGCTAGCATCTGTGATGCCTCAATAAACCCTTTGTTTCAGAGATTTCTCAGTGCCCATTTTGATTTAGCAGTTGGAAAGTTCCAAAGCCCAAATGCAGAATAAGAAAATCATGGCCCAGCACACAGGAATCTTATGCAGATTCCTAACTAGAAACAATAGATTTTTAAAGACCAGAAATGTAACTCTGGCCACCTCTTCGCAGGTCACCCTTTGATTTCCCCTCCCTTTCCCCAACACTCTAAATTCTAAGGAGAAGATGAACCTAAATGATGAAGGTATTAACAGCTAAAGCATCTTTCTTTAGACTAACAGAACCAAGAACATCTTGTGATCTTCAGATAACATCAGAATGTATAATTTATTATTCTTTAATTCTGTGCATCAGCTTACAAAAAGCATGTAAAGTTATGTTTGTCTAAAGAATTACAGGAACTAATCTCTGGAGATCAAGGTTGCTTGCTGTATTGAGGCAGGGAAGACATGCCTCAAATGACCAAGACACCACCCAGCACATAGGCTTCCTAACCATTACCGCCTGCACCTCCTTTCCTTCCATATTAAAGTCCTTCTGTTACCCAACCCTGGTCTTGTACTGCTTGGGTGGACTACTGAATTTCTACCCCATCTTTGAGGACAATATGCCTGAAGACCAGACGTCCCTCTTCATGGGCTGGTTGCATCTAAGATGGCTGCCAGAGTGACCACTAAACAATCTCTAACTTCATTATAATAAAAAACGTGAACATTCCTCCTGCTCATTTATTTTGTATCTATAACCTGATCCCAAGAGTTGGGAAGTTGATTTGCAATTTTATCTCCCACTTCTATTCTTGGCCTAGAATAAAAGTCTCCCTCACAACTCCATGCTCAGTAATGTTGGTTCCACAGTTCTGAGGGGGAAAATGACCCAGCCACTGGGGTCAAAAGTTGGCACTTTTGGGGCTGGAGTTGTGGCCTAGTGGTAGACTACTTGCCTGGTATGTGGGAGGCCCTGGATTCGATTCTCAACACCGCATGTAAATAAATAAAAGATCAATTTACAAATAAAATATATTTTAAAAAACTGGCACTTTTATATACCTGAGTTCCCTAAGACAGACTTTCGATGGAGGCAGGTAGCCACCCCCTCCATCTTCTTAGTGTGCAGGCCCTTAACAAGGACCTGATTTCCTTCTCATCAGCTCTCGGCTCTCAAGTGTTAGCTTTCAGGTGATGAGCAGACCAGCTCGGGTCCAGTAACAGAAATATGGGGAAATGCCAGTGATAATACATTAAGTGGAAAAAAGCCCAAGCAAAGTAGTCTAGAAAGCCATGGTTACAGTCATGTCAAAATATACCTACATGTAGGGACTGTGAGAGAATGTAGAAATGGGAATCCTTGTGTTTAGTTGATGAAGTTATTTCTCCCATCTTTAAAGTTATACCTTATAGCTGTTAATTTGTTATTCTTGCTGGAGAGTCCACATGTCTGAGACCTGGAGAGCTTGGCCTCGTGGCCTGCCTCCACAGCTCCTGGAAGGCAGCATGCTCCTGCTTCGTGCAGGTGTCAAGAGGATGCTGTCTCGTATCTTCTCTAGCTCCCTGTGCCTTTCCCCTGGGGCACTAGGGCAAGGTAATTTATTAAAGTCCTCATTTATGTATGGTATAATATGAAATATGTCTGTCCCCTGTTCCTGTCACAGAGCCCCTAAAACCTTGGGAATTTCCTTAGCAGTAAAAATGTCTTTTATTACTCATGACAAGCCCCTTTTGATCACACATGAGTGTACTTTAATGTGGTAATAGAGTAGGATCCCTTGACAACCTAAGGGTAGGGTAGCTGGTCACCAGAAACACCAGGTAATCAGAAGGTTCCAACATTCAGCCTTACCTCCCAACCTCTGGGAAGGGGCAGGGAGGATGTGCAGGTTAAGCTCTATAAAACTATAATAGATTCAAGCTGTTTCCAGGCTGCACATCCCAAGAAAGCACCTTGCCCCTTTGACTCTTCATCTGTATTTTTTATAATAAACTAATAAATGAAAATAAAGTGTTTCCCTGTGTTTTGTGAGCCATCCTAGCAAATTATGAACATAAAGAGGAGGGTTGTGAAAACTCAAAATTATCAGTAAATCAGAAACACAGTCTGAAACTTGATTGACATGAAGTGGGGAGCAGTCTTGTGGGACTAAACTCTTAGCCTATGGGATCTGACATTATCACCAGGTAGAGTTAGGATCAGTGTCAGGATTAGGTTGATTTATAAGACTAGTTGGGGGCTGGGGATGTGGCTCAAGCGGCAGCACGCTCRCCTGGCATGCGCRGGGCGCTGGGTTCAATCCTCAGCACCACATAAAAATAAAATAAAGATGCTGTGTCCACCGAAAACTGAAGAATAAATATTTAAAACTTCTCTCTCTCTCTCTCAAAAAAAAAAGACTAGTTGGCCCTGTAACACCCACCTGGCATTTGCTGGAAGATTGCATGGTGTGTGGGGACAAAGGCCCACACATCAGGTCCCAGAAGTGCTCTGTGTTGAATGTGAGTAGAGAAGAAAAAGTCTGTCTTCTTTCCCACTGTGCTTTATCTCTTCCACCAGCAGCCTCCCCCATGAGTCTTATTCCTCCTTCTGGGAATCAGCCTGGATGGCAAGAATCAAGAGGTTAAAGGCAACAACTCTTGTGTTTGAGAAATCTAAACTCATGGAGAGCTTGAAGTAGTGAGAAAGCCTGTGAGATGCTGGAGCCGACACTCAGAGGCCACATAACAGGAAAGAGTGTTTGCCAGACCTCAAGGGGACTAGATGACCCTGATGTCTGTGACAGTAACTGATACAACTACTTACAAAGCACACACTTTTACAAACTGTATATATATGTGAACTTTTTTTTTCAAGCACCGGGTAGGGATTGAACTCAGGGCACTTCACCACTGAGCTACATACCTAGCCCTTTTTACTTTTTGAGACCGGATCTCCCTAAGTTTCCAAGAGTGTCCTTGAACTTGTGAACCTCTTGGCCTTGGCTTCCTAAGTACATACTACTGTTATCCTCATTATACAGGTTGGGAAACTGAGGCTTGGTGTAGTTAAGTGCTTTTCTCCCAGTTTTCCAAGGTCTGTGATATCCTAGTAAACAGCCAGGATTCAAAACCACGCAGTCTGGTTCCAGAAGCTAATTCTTTAATCATTATCCTGTATTCTCAACCCTGAAGGCCCTCACGGAAGCAGTGATGGGCCCCAAATGTGCAAAAGTTCCCTCTATTTTCCCCCATATTCCAAATGTGCACAAAAGCCACAGCCCCAAGACCTTCAGGGTCTATGCTGTGGTGCCAGTAGGCATCCTAATAATGACCAAAGCCAGTAGATGACCAAAGGGCATGTCCCATTGTATTGCCTTTCCATAAGACCCAAAGTCCTTTGCACAAACCCCAGGAAGGGA